TCTTTATATACAACTTTTTGAATAATGTCACAATCAATATTCTCAATTATATCTTCACTATAATAAATCAATATCTAACTATATTATGTTTAATTAAGGGTGAATCACCAAAAAATCTAAATTTCTTAATTTTTTGAACAACAATTGATTTATATTTTTAAATAGTTTTAAATATTTTTAAAATTTAATCATGCCTGAAATCAAGCAATATATTTATATTAAATACCTAATTAAGCGTTAAAATCATCAAAAAATCATTCTTAATTATATTAAGTCTTTGTTACATGGGAACCAATTATTTAAAAAAAAATATATTCTTAATTATACTACACTTAACAGTCAAGCAATATTTTACTATTACTATAAGTATTAAATATCCATCTGATCTGTTTATACTATATTAAGTGCATTAAACTAATATAGATTCTAAAATAGATTTATATTATTGAAATTCTATGAATAGTAAACTATTTTAATGACTGATATATGTAATACAAAATAGAACATGGTAAAAATTAAATATAAATTTGACCGACATATAATATATTTTCTACAGAGATACAATAGTGTTTTTATATAATAATAACTGATTCAATACATACCCAATAATATATATATATATATATACATATATATATAGCATGATCCAATAATGCAATATATGGTCGTTACGATAAACTAAATAGTTCAAATGCAACTATTAAATTTTTGTGTTTCAAAATATTTATATATATATATATATATATATATGTATATATCATAAATCAAACACTCGTGCGGACGCAAAAGTAAAAAATCTAGTCTAATCTATTAAAACTAGAGTACATATAGGAAATACTAGGCCTGGGCGTTTCGGGTATCGGTTCGGTTCGGTTCGGTTCGGTTCAGGTATTTTGGTTTCGGGTAGTTCAGGTAGGGAGCTAGAGGATCCATTTACTACTTGACCTATTTTCGGTTTGGTTCGGTTTGGATAGTTTCGGGTCGGTTCGGTTCGGATAGTACAACATGAACTAGAAAAAACTTGAAAATTTTGGTTCTCATTTTAGTTCCGGTTTGGGTTCGGGTAGTTCGGATAAATTATCGGTTATTTAGGATAAAATATCAAGTAATTAGAACGATTTAGATACAAATTTTGATATTTTGGATAAAATTATCAGTAGTTCGGATACTCTATAATTATTTAGTTATCTTCAACTATTTTTGGATACTTTTAATAGGTTTTAAATTAAAATCATATATTTAGTTATGTTATATATATAGAAAATTAATACTATTATATATTCGGGTATCCGTTCGGTTCTCGGTTCGGTTCCGGTTCGGTTCGGTTATTTTGGATATATAAATATAAAAATCGTTTGGATATTTAAGGGTTTCGGTTTGGTTTTAGTTTTAGATATTTTGGTTCCGTTCCGGTTCGGTTCTTCGGTTCCTGTTTTTTTTTTCCCAGGCCTAGAAAATACCCCTTAGTTCTCCTCAAAAGTACACATTTATGCCATTAGTCTTATTCCATATATGGGCTTGCTCAATTAGAATAAAATTAAAGAATAATTCATACATATTTTATTGTGATGAAATTAAAATTTGAACATAATAATTAAGTTGTAACCCATTTTAAGTATAATCTCATAACCAAATAATCAAAACTATTAACTTCAGTTAAATCTCTCTCATTTGTGATGTTTTTATGAACTTGGTTTCATTATTATTTTTGTTTCTCCAAATAATTTTACTTTTAAAATATTCAATTTTTTTTTTAAATTTTATATAGAAAATATCTTACATTTTAGTGTTTTCTTTGCCAAATAACCTAAATAAAAGTACAATAAAAGTAAAACACAATATCATAATTTATAAGTGAAAAATAATCACATATCAGTGTCAATCCTAAATAACATATGAATCTATAATATAAAAAATATAAAAAATTAAATTTATCATCTTTTAAAAAGGTGAAAATACATTATTATGAAAAAAAAATCATATGCGCGGACGTGCAGATCAAAACCTAGTTATGTATTTAATTTTTGAATATATTTCCGTTAGGTATAAATAGTAAATAATCTTTTTCCTTTTTTGTAAACAACTTGTCTAATATTTATTGGCTAACCAGAAAAATTAGACTCGTCGTAGGCCATATTGTGATTTAGACTCAAAAAAGAAAACAGAAAAAAAGAAAAATTATCAAACCTTTGAGAATCTTTATTGGTTCTATAATGGATGTTACTTTGGATAAATGAGCACAAAACTGCACTTTTAGTATAGTAAGATTAAGATGATGATTAAGAATTTAGTCAAATAAAAAACTTAAGGTGATGATTGTTTAGATGGTTTTTAGATTTAGATTTTTTGTTTTGGTTTTTGGCTTTTAGTTTTTGGATTTTGAATTTTAATTTTTAGTTTTTGTGTTTACAGTTAATTTTAGTGTTTTTATAAACACGAATGGTGATTTTGGTTTTTATATTTTGATTTTTTGTTTAAAATTAATAAAATATTTATGTTAAATTGTTGAATTTTCATTTATTCTGTAGTTGTATTTTTTAGAAAGCCTGAATGATACTTTTTAGTTTTTAATTTTAAGTATATTTATTAATTATTTTAAGTTAAATAAAAATAATAATAACATATAACTTAATACAAAAAATTATAAAAAATAATACAAAATATTACTACTTAAAATAAAATTATTGATTTTATAGAACCATTTTAACAGAAAATAATGCTAACTAAATAAATGAACCACAATACATAAGTAATTCAGTTAAAAATATATAATTAATAATAAAAAAATAAACCAACTAGAAATTTAGTTATATTCAAAATATTATATATAAACAATAAGTTACATTTAAATTAGTAAAGAAATATAATAAAAACTAATAGCTATACTTTAAAGTATTTTTAATTTTATATTTACATGCAGTAAAAAAATTAATTTTTATTTTTTGAAATGTTATTTAATTTTTTATGAATATGGTAATTTAAATAGCTGATAAACATAAAAATAATTAAATGGTAAATATGCCTAATATTCACGTAATTCATTTATTTTGACATAAAAGTTAGTAGCTGGAGTTTTATATAGAGAAAATGACTAGAATAGACCTAAAAAAATTTCTATCACAAATATAGACCTTAACAATTAAAATGACTAAAATAGGATTTAAATGTTTTATTATTTAACTAATCATACAATTTTTTTTTTAGAGTTAAGGAGTGGGGTTTTGGGGATAGGGTTTCGAATTTTAAAAAAATTAAAAAAAAAAACTTAAAATTCTCAAAATAAAAAGTGCTATTTTGGTAATTTTAATTTTTGAGGTCTATTTTTGTGATAAAAACTTAAAAATGGCTATTTGAGAGAATTGACATTTTATATAATATAGGGTTACAATGTAATAACTGTATAATAAATTAAGAATTATAACTAAAAATTGGTTAAATTTATCTAAAATTTTAATACAAAATATTAATTCCAACATTATAGCGTATAAAACATTTTAAATCAAGAAGTACGGATCTAAAGTAAAGATATTCTACTGTTTGACCCTCAACTAAATATATTTTCTCATAAGCTTTGATATATGCTGTAATGTCTGAATTAATATTCTCTACTATAAGCTTTATATAAACTTAAACCAAATTTGTTAGTTATAATTATTTGTTTATTACTCTCTCCGTTTCGAATTAATTGTCATTCTGGGGGAAAAAATTTGTTTCAAAATAAGTGTCGTTTTATAGTTTCGAGATAAAATTTATTAGTTTTATATAATATTCTATTTTTTTCTATTGGTTGAAAAGTGGTTAGGTGTATAGGTAATTATATTTTTTTTTTGAAAATATGTAAAATTAAATATTTCCTTAATATGTGTGCAAAAACGTAGAATGACAATTAAAATGAAACAGAAGGAGTATAATGAAATGGATGCATGGTGGAGCTGGAACCGGAATAAAACCTTATCATATATTTTGTACGTCAGCCTGACATCTGCTCGGTTTATAAGTAAACCAAGTAGTTAAACCGGTAGATTTTGTAACGTTACTTAGCCCTCACCTTGGAACTTCGATAATTCGTTAGAACTACAAGGGATCTGTATATTTGTCAGTTCTTCACTTATACCTTTTATATGGATAAATTTCTTCATCATACTATACTACAGAATATTTCTTATATTGTGGAGAAGTACTGTGGAGAAGTACTATGGTCTAGTAGTTAAAGTTTAAACGTTTTTACACTTTGATCTAGGTTTCAATTATCAGAAGAATGCAAATTATGCACAAAATTAGAGAAAATATATTTACAAAAGATCTTCAAGATAATATAAGAAGTACCATCAGTAATGAATCTTATGGAGCGGTTCAGGGTGATACAGTCAGACGTGAATCCACACATAAGAAAGATAGAATTGTCTACTGTAATGTCGTCTATGTAATGTTTTTCATAATTGGTAATAGCATAATTAACTAGATAAAAAATACTATTTCTTACCCTCAATTAACTTGCATTTATAATTTCAGAACCACCTTTTTTTTTATAATAAACGACCACAAAAAGCTAATAAAACCAAAATGCGATAAAACATCACTAACAAACAGTTAGAATATAATTCTTAATAAATTTTAATATAAGTTGAGGTTCTAAGATCTATTAAATTATCTTTTTAAAACTTAGAGACAAAACCAAAAGTTTTATTAGGCTTTGAGTAGGATCGGCATTGGGGTTTGATGTTATAAGCACATATATATAGCCATTCAATGCAATACTTAGTAATCATATACACAAAATTATAATTTTATGTTATAGTGTGTAATCATTTGTACAATCAAACAATAATAAAAAGGCAATAAAAGCACCAAAGTGACTGTCCACGTAGGACTAAAAAATCGGTCAATAAGGAACTTTCATTTTGCCACGTCACGCCGCCACGTCAGCCGTCATATCTCCATTTCATTGGGCTTCTGCTAATTCACTGGGCTTCAGTATTTTTTTTTGTCTGACCCGCCTGGTTTTTTGCATCCTCCTCTCCTGGTTGACGCCGTAAATCATCGTTCTCATCTTCTCCGATGAGATCTCTGTAACGTTTTTTCCATTCTTAAATTCTTGATTCAATTCAATCATTAAATCCCACCCCTTTCTCCTCACATTCCGTCCCATTAATTTAGATTCAAGTCTGTAGCAGATACAAGTTGGACCTATAAATAAGTTATGGGGAAGCTGAAGACCTGCACCGTCTAGAAATCTTATCTTCAAATATGTCGGCTTCGTATGTCCTTCTCGCCAACTTGAAAGCATGCCGTTGCTCACACAGCGGAGGTGCGTCTTCTCAAGTTATGGGGAGCTCAAAATGTTAGGAAAGGTGGGGAACTTATGAGTTTTGATATGCTTCTTCTTGATGAGCAGGTAAAATCGACGACTTTATGTGTTCTTATTTTTGCTAATTACTTATTTCACAAACCTTAATTTCTAAAAAAAAATTGGTTCATTCTTGACGCCTAGTCTACACTTATCCACGGAACCATCAACTCAAGCCGCATTGATACTTTAATCAGCAGTTTTTTTCTCTGACCTCCAGGCTGGTTACTGTAGGCAAACTTTGGTAATAAGGCTGTCTCTATCTTTCTCTCTCTCTCTACTTCCAAAATCGAGACTTGGCTCCACCTCACAAATGGCTTTGTCACAGTCCCTCCTTTGCCTGTCGATGCTTCCTCAGTCGTCAAGCATCACTGGGTCATCATGGTCACTGATACGCCTGCGTGAAAAAGTGGAGTTCTTTGATATATCATTATTATGTAAAAGTTGGTTGCTTTGGATCATGATTGGAAGAGTAGTTGCAACTGTTATTGAAAGTTGTAGACTTTTATTGTGAACTCATTAGTTCTGTATTTTGTTGAGTTTTCAATTATGGTAATGATAAAAAATATTGTTAAATGCAAGTTCTTTGATCATATTGCTATGCTCTGGATCATGCGTGATAGCATAGTTTCTCCTGGATCGAAACTCATAAGTTATAAGTTATTCATGGGCTGTGCATTGTGATTAAGGCGAATATATGATTTATTTTGTTTCAACGATTCTTCTTTTTTTGTGAGGGGGAAAAATGTATTTTATTATTAATTACAGAGTAATTAAGAAAAATATTTGTTAAATTCATCTAACAAAAAAATACCAAGAGTTGACAAAAAAAATTGCGAAATATTTTTATCAGTAAATAAAATGTGAGGAAACAACCAAACTTATGATGTCTACAAAATAAATATCAGACCCACCCTTTATAACAATATTATACGTCCACCACCATAACTAAATTTGCGAGCATGTAAATTATTTTCAGCATAGACAACTGGACTGTTACGGATACATATATCAATTATATGACCACTTTATTTGACAAAGCCACAGAAACAAAGAACATGGATTTAAATATTAAGTACACCGACATAGTGAATGAAATGTATTTTAAATATAGGAGCTTAAGTAAACGAAAATATCTATTATATTAAAAGAGAAGTCATGACTCACTTCATGTGTGATATTTTAGTTTGGACCATCTTTAGAGTTTTATAAAATTTTACATAACATAATAATATCTTTTCATATCTTTAATTTTTGTTTAGAATACAAATAAATAGTTTTAAGAAAATTCTAACAAAATCTTTTAAAAATCTTTTAGAATCTTTTTCAAGATATAGTTTCACAAATTATTTGATTAAAATTATAATTACCATACAATATAATTATCATAAAATATAATTAAAATTTTAATTCATTTTTAACTTATAAACAAAAAATTAAAATTATGTAAAATGCTTTTAACAATATCCCAAAATTTTGTTTATGTATTATGTAGGTCCAACTTAATTAATTTTTACATAGATTTCAAATTTAAAAATAAAACAAGATATATAAATTAGTAATCTTACATAATAATGTTTTTTTAAATTATTACAAAAATACAAATTTATAAATTTTATATTAATTATATTAGAAGTCACATAAAAATGATTATAAATTGGATAGCATAAAGAATAGAATTATACTTATTTATTGATAAATTTTATTATATAATTTCAAATATTTTCGTATTAAAATACCCGCACGGTTGTGCGGGTCGAAATCTAGTATCACTTAAAGGCACTTTAGAGTTTTTTTATTGCATGATAAGCCACTTTCTTCTATTGAGACACTTTTCTTTAAATGAATCTTTTTAGTTAAAGCACTTTCATTAATTTTTAACTATATTCACGTGAACAATTTCATACCACTAGTGAAGTAATTAAGTGACTTTTTTCATCATGTTATTTTTCTAACCCTCACCTAATAATTATGATTATACAATAGCTCAACTATCATATCTTCTGCGATTTTTTTAGAGTTTTTATCACTGAGAGTCAGTTTTAAGATTTTAATATCAATTTAAGACACTTTGTGCTCCTAGAGTACTTTATAGTGGTTGAAGACATATTTATCCTCCATAAAGCAGAACTAAACGTGGGTATTTAGGTAATTAGACATTTTCTTTCTAGTTAGGCTAGTTAGAGGTTTGATTTTTTTAAAAGAGACTTTGTGTTGGAGAAGACGACGACCACGACTTCCGACAGAATGACGACCACGACTTCCGGCAGAACGAGATTTCCGGACAGAGAAGATGACGTTGTCGCAAAAGAGAAGAGTTTCAAAAGGCAGAGCGAAAGGTAAGATTTGTTTGGGGATTAGGGTTACGAATCTGAGATTTCGATTTTGGGATTAGGGATTTGGATCTGAGATTTCAATTTTGAAATTAGGGGTGTAATTTGAGATTTTATCTAAGACCCTTGATATGAGGATATACATTTCAAAGTTTATGGATTAGGGTTTCAGTTCAGGGATTTTGATTTTGGGATAAATGTTTCAGATTTGGAATTTCTATGGTAATGCAATATATTAATGGAGGAAAAAGTCTAAGCTTGTAGCTAGTTTTGGTGTTTTGACAAAACTATGGTAGGTGTACACCAACACGTGTGTACACATAAACACACAAGGACTGTGTACATGTGTACACGAGTAAATATATACAATTTGAAATGTGTATTCATATATATAAACGAGTATATGAATAACTTTAGGAAATAATACGTAATGTACATATGTGGTATGTACACAATCCTAGTTTACTAGGTTGACATGTACAATGTTGTGTTTGTTGTTGTAGGAGACTGGAGCCGGTAATGCATAAGGCCCATGCGAAGAGGTTGTGTGCCTTTCACTGGAACTGAACCAGTTTACATATGTATTCATCAATGGAGTGAGATGCAACAAATTGTTACATCGTCAATGGTCTATACTATATACTTTTGTCTCTCACACTCATTTACTTAATGAGTAATCATTTTCATGTATGCTACACTGAATTAAAGTTGGGAAACATGCTCTATGTTTGGTTGTAAGATTTTTGAATATTTGAGAGGTTTAGCAACAGAACTTAAATCGTGTAAAATGTTGTCTATCCATATGTACACCAAGCTGCATTATCCATATGTACACGTAGCAAAAAAATCTACATGTTCACTAGATTAGAAATAAGCTGCATTATCCATATGTACACCTAGTTGAGAAACCCACATGTTCACTAGATTACAAACATTCATATGTATGCTGGTTCAAAACTATTTACATTTACACATTTCATAGTTGTTCACTTTTAAGCATGATCTAGCTGAGAAATACCTCTTTTGAGACTAATTAGTCCAGCCATAATTACAAATTTGCCACTCATTAAAAACAGTTTTTTTTTTAAAGATTGGATGACAACGTGGTTAGGGACATAATGTTAGTGTACACATGTTCGTGTACACGAGTACACTGGATGATAAGATTGGATGACAATGTGGTTGTGTGCATAATGTTAGTGTACTAATGTTTGTGTACATATGTTCGTGTACACGAGTACACTGGATGACTACGTGGATGTGGACAAAATGTTTGTGTACGCATGTACATGTTAAAGAGATATATTTCTTTTTGTAAATATAAGGACAAGGAATCAAGATTTATGTGAATAAAAAAAAATCTCATTGTTGTGAATGAGGCTAATTTTAGATCTTGATAGCATGTACGTTATATTTCTTACTTTTTATTTATGGTGTACAATAATAGATATACACATGTACATTATTTGGTGTACACATGTGCAATGTTATATATTCTCGGCATACATATATACTTGAATTATGTTTCACTAATGATTCCAAACCCCATAAACTCAAGCATATCAATTTAAAAGTCATTTGTTGTGTATGTTATACCATGTACATAAATAATTTACTATCCACTTGTAAAATTGTTCATATGTACATTGATTAACTCCCACAATAATATACGAATATCAGATAGTTTTATTTTTGTGTACAAACATTAGACATGTAGGCTTCCAATCTAGGGCAATACTAATTTACAAAAAATAAGTACACCGATTTATTTGTATATTACTCAAGTTATGATAATGATTTTAATATGTTTTAGATAGTTGCTCAAAAAAAGAAAGATAAACCACATGTGTACATTTAGAAATTTCTCAAGTTATCACATAGGAAAAAAAGAGAAAAATTTGGTACTTCATTTAGATCATTTATACTAATCATCTATAATAAATGTCTCCAAAATCATTGAATTTCTTTTGAAATTTTGGGTTTTCTTGAATGATATTTTCAAATAAAACATATGAGGTATAAACGAAAATAAAACAAAATACTATGAACCAATATTTCAATCTGAATATTTGTGGTGGTTTGGATTGCACAGTTAAAAGTTTTGGAACAAATTCGTGAATAAATTTGAACAAAAAATAAGTTTGAAAAAAGTTGGAGAATAAAAAAGAATTGGAGGATCATATGTGCAAATAATTAAAAGTTCACCATTGTTGTACTAGTGAAGTTTTTTCTTCAATCTGTGACTAACGCAACGACGAGGAGACGGCCATAACTCTAGGTCCGAGCTTCTCAACCACATCAGTAGAGTTATGTTAGAAAGGAGCTCGTGGTCTGAGGTTGCCGACAACGGAACTCTCGTTTGAGAAAAAATGGTTGTTATTCAGAAATGAAGATAAAGATGATTAAAGTTATAATTTTCAGACGTGGAGAAGGAATCTTTTAAGGTACAAATCAAAAGAATTTATCTGCAAATAAACATTTGAGGTATAAGAATAAGATATGAGCTCAAAAAGAAGAAAGTGATTTTTTCTTTCTTTTTAGATAGATATTATCTTGTTAAGGGGATGGAGAAACAATCTGAACCGTTGAAATAGGAGATAGATGTGTGGTGGGTGTTGATTCCTGCTTATTTTATGGTCTCGTTACATGCCCAGTTGGTTACAAAGAAACTAGAGTTTTTGGTCAAAAGGAAATTGTTACAAATAAGTGTGTTAGTAGCAATAAGTGTCTTTTTATGTTAATAAAAACATAAACCTGCCTTTGAGTGATATATTTTCATTTTTTTATCTACTTTTTAATTTTTTTCTCTAGGTTTCCGTGTGTTGCTTTGGTCTATAAAACTTAAATTCTCCATAATTACAATTTTTTTAGGAGTAAACTAAGAGGCTGAAAAACCCCCCAAATTTCCTGCAAAAATTGTAACCTTAAGGAGCTGATGAAGAAGATGAAATAATTACGATAATGCCATTAGTGAATTAATATTAAAAAAAGTGTACACACGGTTATGGTGTACATGTGTACGCGATACATAACGTACACAACTAAACTATACACAAAATAATAATAATTTTATCTTTGATGTACCATCTAATGTTCAAGTGATTTTATAAGACTCATTATTTGTGCCGTGTACATGTGATTTTCTACTGATGATGTATATTAAATCCGTGTATATACTTATTGATAATATACACCAAATATGTGTACATATTGTTTTGGTGTACAGTTGAGACTA